AACAGTGGCTCGCAGAGACCTACTGTGTAGGACAATAATGCTGACCAGGCCACCGAGCCTTCGGGAGCTGCTTGAGGATGCAAGACCTGTTGATATCAGGCTGATCACAGTCCCCTTTTGCTTAGCTTGCTAGGCAGGCAAGGTTAGGTCTCACTGTCAACACCATTCCATTCTGACCAAAACCGAAATCTGATTTTGAAAGCAAAGCAGTGTCAGAGCCGGAAAGAACTTGGACGGGAGATGATCCAAGATTTTATCAGTCATCTTCAGGTCAGGCCAGGAGCGTTTCCTGTGAGAAACCCCGGAGAGCCGTAGCTGCCAAACAGAGTTGGCAATACAGGCCTAAATGGACTATGGGTCTGTCTCATTGGGAAGCAGCTTTCGAGGGTAGAAATGCAGTTTTCTCTGTTTCTGATTCATTCCAAGCCCTGAATCCAAGAGGCAATTTACAGAGTTCAAGCAGAACTTTCAGTTAGACATGCATAAGCACAGACCAGTCTTCTTAGCCTACTGGATGATGTGGTCCTGGGGACACAACCCTTCTGAAATCACGCACAGTCTTTGGTGGGGTGCAATGTCCTCTGGAGAGTACAACAAGGTGTACAACAAGGCTGTATACTGTTCCCCCCCCTGCTTATTTAACTTAGATGCAGAATACATCATGCGAAAGGCTGGACTGGCGGAATCCCAAGCCAGAATGAAGATTGCTGGAAGAAATATCAACAACCTCAGATATGCAGATGATACTACTCCGATGGCAGAAAGTGAGGAGGAATTAAAGAACCTCTAAATGAGGGTGAAAGAGGAGAGCGCCAAAAATGGTCTGAAGCTCAACATCAAAACAACCAAGATCATGGCCACTGGTCTCATCACCTCCTGGCAAACAGAAGGGGGAGATACGGAGGCAGTGACAGATTTTACTCTCTTGGGCTCCATGATCACTGCAGATGGAGACAGCAGCCACGAAATTAAAAGACGCTTGCTTCTTGGGAGGAAAGCGAGGACAAATCTTGACAGCATCCTAAAAAGCAGAGACATCACCTTGCCGACAGAGGTCCGCACAGTCAACGCTATGGTTTTTCCATTACCGAAGCATGGAAGTGAGAGCTGGACCATAAAGAAGGCTGAGTGCTGAAGAATTGATGCTTTTGAATTGTGGTGCTGGAGGAGACTCTTGAGAGTCCCCTGGACTGCAAGGAGAAAAAATCTATCCATTCTGAAGGAAATCAACCCATGGGGTCATGAAGGGTTGGACACGACTTAACAACTAAACAACAACAAATGTCCTCTGGGAAAGTCCATGGCACTTCCCCAAAGTTTCTTGGCACCACTGTGACTTTGAGTTTAGTTCCCGCATGCCAACTGCCTCGCACCTTAGGTCAAGCCATGCTCTCGCCAAGTTCCTCCATCCTTTCATTCTTTGCAACGCCATTATTCTATGCTTCAGTGACTCCTCCACGGAACCCCCCTGGTCCTCTTTACAATCCGCACCCTCCCAACGACACTCTTCCTTAGCGCAACCCATGCAAGGAGCCTGGGCTTCGGTGAGAGCAGAAAGTGGAGCACAGAAAGACAGGAAAGTGTCAGGATGGAGATGCTGGCTAACTCAATTGCAATGGGAGGCTCCGATGACCTGCTTTCCCCCAAATCATCTCCTTGTCCTGCAAATGCCAATCAATGCCCCCCTTATTTTTCCAGACTGGTTTTCCCCTCCTTCCCTCGGTGCACACAGAGTCAAATTTCCCCCTGTAAGGTTAGGAAAGAAGAGTCACACAAATCAATCCCGCCACGGAGGGCAAATTGCCCATTAGAAAGAGAATCAGAGGCTAGCAAGCAGGGGAGGGCAGAGGGAAAAGATGGCAAGACACCGCCCTCCCCCTTCCCTGTCTTGTTTTTCCAAACAGCCAGCGCTCTCCCCAGCCTGTTTCAGCTACGACTACCACCGCTGACGCTGGCGCCCTGGGGTAGCCTTTGAAACCGTATAAGCTGCAAATTGCTCTTCAAACTTCAGTCCTGCAGACTCCGTGCAGAGAGAGAAAAAGCCATTGTGTGTTTCGACAAAGGCCTCTGAGCCAACAGCAAAGGCGCCTTCTCCTGAAATGGGTCGGAGCCCTTAAAGGGCCTTTTCCAGAGAAAGGATGTACCATCTCCAGCTTCAACAGGTTGCTCGTGACTCTCCCAGGCATGGAAAAATTGGATGCTCCCACTACAGCACCCAGCCAGAAGAGCCAGAGGGTAGAGATGCAACGAATACTGAATTCTCCGCTCCCTTCAATTTAGGCTATCTTGACAGGACGAGAGAGAGGAGGCATTTGAAATGGTAGCAAGAATTCTTGCCTCCAGCCAAAGCAGGGCAAAAGGGCTCCCCTCTTCTCCCTTTGAGAAACAAAGTGCGCACATGCCTAGCAAACACAGAAGGACTGGGGAACTGACAAGAGTCCGGACCATGAATCCCATGCTTCAGATTCTTAAACAAAAGAGCAGTCCTTGGAGGGTTGCGCAATTTGCGCAAGCTGCAGCGTTCAGGTAGAAAACAAGACTGTTTTGCACAAAATGGTGCCAGGTTAAAAACCTTCCTGTTCCAGAGGGTTTTTTTTAAAAAATGGAAGTTTTTAAATGGAAGGTTTTAATTTTAATGAATAGAGTAGTGGATCTAGATTGTTTTTGTAGATTGTGTTTGTTTTTATTTTTGCTTTGGTAGAGTATAGATGTCACTGTATGGGTTTTTAGTGTGTCTGTTTTTAACGGAACCGTTTTAATGGATGTTAGAAGCCGCCCCGGAGGCTCTTGCAGAGGGCAGGCGGCATACAAGTCTAAGTAAGTAAGTAAGTAAGCAAGCAAGCAAACAAGCAAGCAAGCAAGCAAGCAAGCAAGCAAGCAAGCAAGC